TGATAAATATCAATTGGTAATTGTTTTAATGTTTATTGAAATTGGATAGAGTATTGAAATTCTTTTGTGGAATGCATAGGTCTCTAAACTTACTTTGACTCCTCTTTTCACAAGGCCAGCTCTGTACTCAACTTGCTTACTTGGAACTGCTCCTTTCCTCTTCATTTCTGACATGTGCTAGCACCACCTCTAAATTAGCACATAAGTAATGGAATCTTTGTGAGAGAATGCAGTGTGAAGTCTGGCCTTTTTTTCTGTGATCAAAATCAGAAATCCTTCAGCTAGTCAAGAACCGCTTCATTCAGATTCTGTCTTTGTAAGTGTATTCTGCTGGGTCAAATTGCTCCTACTGACAATAGCATGTTACTGATGTTACAATAACTACTGCAGCAGCTCAGTAAGGGTACATTAAACCATTCCCCCTACACATCACCAGATCTCCAGAGATGCACATCTGGAGAGAAGTTATTTCAGTCATGTACTTTAATAGGAATAGTACCACCATAATAGACTCGTTACTAGGTTACCATCTATTGATTCAAAAATATGTTTTAGATGCACCTTGATGTGTTTCTATAAACATAGTAGTGTTTAAATATCAGGAGGACACATGGCCCAATGATATACTGTCTTCAGAAACCAACAGAAAATCACAAAGTTGAAACTAGAAACTGAAGTTTTGCCCTTAAGTGACAAACATAACAATACCCATCTGCTTTACCTTTGTTCTAGAGAGAGACAACAAACCTGGATTAAAAGTCAATTAGATCTATTGGTTTACTTGTGCAAGAGGTAACTTAATAATCTAGTCAACCTACCACAAAAACATCTCTTTTCCAATAAGCTTACTAGAATGAAGATGAGTTTCAAAATACATAAGCCAGTACATTGGTTTCTGAACACATTATTGGGTAATATTTTAACAGTATTGCTAGTAAAGAGATTGGCAGGTACAGATCATAAGCTTCATTATTCAAATGTTTAAACATAGTAATAAAGCCTTACCACGCCTTTGAGGTGCACTCAGCACTTGCCTACCAACTCTTTACAAAAAGGGTTAACAATTCTGAAAAAACTAATCTTTTATTCCTTTCTCAGACAAATTATTCCTTTGAATAAATCAAGAAAGGGACTAACCTGCTGGTTTCCAGCAAATGTTCTCCACCAGGAAAGTGCTTCATTAGCACTGAGCACCACAGCAGCTTTCTCGATCACAGGTAGCAACTTTGAGGAGGACCATATTACAGAGATGAGCTTTCATCTGAAAAGCTTACACTGGAGTAAACAACCAGCAGTGTTAAGAAACAGCAGAACTCAAACATTACCAGCCCTCACCTCCAGCTAAGAGGGACTTTACACCTCAGGAAGGGGTGCTTATAAAAGGGGCCTGGTTGGCTGGGAGGGGCCCTGCAAGATTGGTGGGAGGAGGGAGGCCCAGGTGGCCCCAGGCCTGGCAATTAGCCATCAGGACAGGGCTAGAGAGGGCATGGGTAGAGCTGCAAGTTTATTTCTGAAAGATGTGCATAGATGCTTCAGTGATCTCAAATAAGTAGAGTCTGGTTTTCCTCTCAGCCTAAAGATGGCATTTTCTGCTGGCTCACGTTCCTTCACATGACACTGGACACTGCCTCAGTACTTGCTCAGAGGCAAAAGTATTAATAACACTACACCTTTAATATTTTAATATTTTTATATCTTTCCTTTGCAGAATCTGTCCTCTTATCAGAATCTTATCCTAGGAGAAGAGACTTTTAACACAGCTGTACCTCTGTGTTAGTGTGCAGTCAATTCCAGATTTTCAGTTTAGCTTCAGGTCCTATTCTAAACTGCAAGTCAGAGTATAAAGTATTTATAATAGCTTATAAGTGTTTCCCTCAAATGTGATTTTTCTAGCTCTTGTAACACTCAAAACAACAATATAAATTGGAAACTCTGTAAGAAACACGAAGAAAGCAAGTATCAAGTATGATAATTTATTTGACATTGATCAGATCACCTGGGAGCATGAATCAACTTCCAGCCAGAATTAGGTTTTCTTCCATAAAGAAGTCCTTTCATCCTTGATCTAGAAGCATCTCCTTCCATATGTACAAGACTACATGGTTTGTAACTGTGTACGGGAGATACAGCCATGCCTACTCTGCATAGTTCTCTCCTTTGATGCTGGAAGTCGTATGGAAGGAAAGGGAAGCCCTCCTCCCTGTACTTCTTTCTGCCCTTTCCTTCTGGGATACCATGTTAACAAACATTTCTTTAGCATGAAGATCTCAACTCTTATTTTGTAAAGGATATTGTAACAGCCCACATATTTGCAGGCAAATGCGGGGCACAGAAAGTCTCAGACAAGCACAGGTCCCCTTACTGACTACTCGATATTTCGTGCTGCTGATGAAGGGACATAGGGTGTGCTACACTCCAAAGCTGAGAAGATCTGAAGAATGTGATATTACACTCAGCTTTGTTTGGAGGAAGTGCTCACAGTGACACCCTCCCCGCCCCATCACAACACTTTTGAAGAACAAAGTGTTAATAGATCAGCCAGAGGTGGAACATATTGTGTGCACAGATGTTCATAAAAGAAATGGAAGAATTCTTTGTACCTGAGATTCTGCCTAATTAGACTGGGGCTCCTAAACATATAGGCGAAACACTGGGGAAAAAAAATTGGCCTTCATGCCAGACACCAAATAGTAAGTAAAAAACATTTATTATATTCCTTGTAGAAGTGATGTGATTGATCCCAACTCGTCATGTATTCTGCACAGACTTCTCTTTGGAACCCAGCCGATACACAATGACAACATATATACTACATATGTGACTAGGAAACAATAAACAAGCAAGGCTTGTATTCCTAAAATCCTGAAAATAGGAACTCCCATAAATTACAGCTGTGTATAGATCAAAACCGAAATCTCATCCAAGTGTTTAGTCATATATTATATTAAGACTATATGAAATTAGATATGCAACTATTACCAAAAAGCATGATTGGTATTATGGTCCCCAGGGCTCAATAAGTCCATCAACATGTAAGATTTGTGACAGAGAGATGTTTCAATAATGTTTATGGCACGTAGGGTATGCTTACTAAACCAGTCGACCAATTCTTTCTTTATATGCAGGTGCATTTTCAGTTCAGTCAAGTGTGTGGTAATCAGAACTGACAAAGCTTTAACAGTATTAACATTCTGTTGTACATACTGGAGTTAGTTAGTAATTTACTGTCACTGTTTACAATTTAATGTATCTTCATTGTGGGCATGTCATTTTCCCTGCTTAAAGCATACTTGATCTAATCCTACTATTTTAGGGAATAATGTATGATTATTATGCTTGTTTTATTAAAGCCCTCTAGATATTTGTTTACCTCATTAATATATTTCACTGCACATCAACACATATTGCTCCATGTTAGCTTAGCCATGCAGTATAATTAGATTTGTCTTGTCTCAAACAGAATTGCATTTATAAGCAGGGGTATGGTAAGCTGCTTAGCTACTACAGCCGTGTAGACAGCGCACTAGTCAGTGGGTCCCCAAGTCTTGGTGCTCTCTGTGTATGTCAGATAGTCTTTTCTTCCCTAAAATCCTGCTTACTACTTGGGTGAATTCTTGCTTTGTATATGTTGTCTTACCTGAGAACTAGCATTACTGAGCTAATAGCTCTAATGTGCCTGCTTCATTACCACATTTTGTTCAGCTGACTAAATATTACTTATAGGGAATAACTTGTCTAGAGATGAACATGCAGACTTTCTTTGATTACAGCTACATATTGCATTTGAAAGTCAGAAGACCAGGAGTTATGTTCACATGTAACAGTCAGGCTGACCCTTTGAAATATTACTGGCTCAGTGTTTTCCATTTGCACAATTATTGATACAAGTTCTTATTTGTGAAGCCTTACAATGACAGTGGCATTTAGGCACTCTTTTTTATGTATAATGGGGAAACTGAGAAAAAAGGAAAGTGAAATATCCTAAACTATAAAAATTTGTTCCAGAAATCACCTTGGTTTTCCAGATTTCTAACACTGAAACTCTGAGTCATGAAAACTTCACTTTCTTGGTACATGTGGTACATGGGTGCTCCCTGTGCCAGGGGCTGGTGTTCTGTGACTTGTGTCAAGTCTGGAGAAGAAATTCTGCCCCTGAGAATATTGGAACTTAAAAGAAAGAAAGTGTTCCATGATTTAAAAGACTTAGTATTTTCCTTGTGTAACGTTTTATATTTTCCTTTTTACATTTCTTCAGAAGCCTGAAGCTGTGCTGCCAGCATCCTTTAGATTTGTGTGGCCCAAAAGGAAGAGATGCCATGAGGTATCTCCCATGAACAGAGAACCCTGTATTCAGTGCTAGGATTCTGTTTTTCAGATCACAGGTGGCCGTTAGGACTATTTTGATTTTGTCCAGTACTGAGCATAAACACATGTAAAAATTCTGACTTTGGTTTCTGAACAAAGTCAGCATTTGACTTAATTTCATGTGAAAAATTTGCCTTGAAAGAAAATAATTTAGTTTAAATTTAAATCAGTAGCGTAACTGCTACTTAATGATAATTGAAATGTCTTGTTATTTACATCAAAGTAGGTCTTTTATTATAATTAAACAGCTCAACATTTTTGTATGAATCTCGTATTTGCTAAATTACAATAGGAAATACCAACTATTATATCATGTTATGATATTTCAGTATCAGTAATGAATATTGATTGCACATAAATAACTACATATAAATACATATAAATAACTGCATATAAATAACTACACAGAACAGCTTCATGACCAATGACTGTTGTAAAATAATGGAGAACATGCTGAATACAGTTTCATATGTTAATGTTTTATGAATTTTTATTAAAATTTTCTGAATGTAATTTAATCTGGTGAAAATTTTCTGACTATCTTTGCACCATGGACTTCCACTGAAATCTCTACTTTGTTTTGAAGCTTTTCAGAAGACAAAAGGATTTGAAATCCTTTCTCTTTTTTCTTATAGATGTGCAATGGTTTAGAGCAGCCAAGGAAGCAACAGCGTTCAGACCTCAATGGACCAGTTGACAATAATAATACACCCGAGGTAGGTACCCTCGGCCATTAGGCTGTTCTACTGCCGATCTTCCTGCGGTCAGGCTTCCATGAGGGAAAGCAGGCACCGAATTGTCAGCTTTCTCCCTCTCACAGACACATACTTAGGCTCTGTTTCTTTTCCTGAACTGACAATAAATAGAATCATAGAATCATTAAGGT